CAAGGTTTTGTCTGGAACCAACATAGCAAGATCAAATCCTTCCTAGTAAGGATACAGGTGCTGCTTAGTGTCTGCATTTCATTGGCCCATCTCGGGCATCTTCTTGGGTTCCCAGCAGCAGTATGGGAGGGAGAAGAGAAAGAAGGGCATGTATAGAGAGGGAAGAAAGAGAGGGGAGAGGAGGAGAAGGGAGAGGAGAGAGGAGTGGAGCTAACCAGACTTTGGTTCCTTTCAAAACATCATGAACTGTGTCCAAAGGGGTCAAGGTCTAAGCCTAGCAGAGAATCCCCATCCCCACCTCCAGGGACTTGAAGATTGTATGCAAAGCCCTTGCAGCAAGTTCTCAGGGGCACATACATTTTTTGCATGTGTGTTTGTTGCAGTATCCAGGATGAAACCCAACAAGCATCTGACCATTAAGTTACATATCCAGCTGTCGCTATTATTCTGAAAAGGTTTTTTTTTTTTTTTTTTTACAGAATTACAGGAGTAATTCTGCCAACTTGTCAATTTGCATGCTTCCCGCTCCCCATACCATTCCACCCACCCACACACTCACACCCTGCTTTGGCTTCCTGACTGTTCAACTCCAGCAGCAGAAGGTGCAAGCAGAACAAAAGACCTCAGGCTCTTGCGAATTGTGGAAACTTTATTGAACACAAGTGAGCAGATGGCAGATTTCAGCTTTCGATTAAGACTCTAAGCGCTGGCAAAGGAAATAAAAGGAGGTTCTGCGGAAACATTAAAGGAGAGGGGAGGAAGTTCAAAGGGACATAATTCAGAGGATGGGATGAAATGCTTTATGTGGTGAGAGAGACAAGGGCCCCAGAGGAGGGAAGCAAAGGGACTTCTTTAGCCTTCGCAAAGAGCCCTTTCAAAGCTGAGCCAAGCTCATCCAGCAAGCTGAGAAGGAAGGCAGTATGACAGCAGACCAAGCACGCTGAGCTCTGCAGAGCCGAGCCATGAGCTAAGCACGAAGTGTGCTGCTGGCTAACCATGGGACTTTGTGTCCTTATCTATCCTAAACCTCAGTTTCCATGCTCTCAAAGTAGGAAACTCACTGAGTATCCATCTCCATGGAGAACTGTGTCAAAGAGTCAGCATGAGAATGTGGCCCATAGCCAGGCACAGACACATGGATAGTGTTTCCTCAGTTCTTTCCTTTTCCCAGCACCAGAAATAGCTTATTGCTTTTCTAAAGCTCGGCCTGAGCCAAGTGCTTTTAGCCACTCCCCGGAGGGATCAGGAACCTACTCCAGATCTGCTTCCTACAAGGGAGGCCCCTTCTCAGGGAAGATCTGCTGTGCCATCAAATGCTCTCAGACTTTTGCCTCTTCAGAATGGAGTTGTGTTGCAAGCCAGCAGTCTGGGGTGAGTGAGGGCAAAACTAAAGGTCATGAGTAATCTTCCAGAAAGCCCAACTTCTGGCTTTTCAGAGGCCTCTTTGTTCTTGAGCTCAAGCCCAACTAACAGGTGACAGTGGGACTTTGAAGGTCTCTTCTCTCTCTCTCTCTCTCTCTCTCTTTCTCTCTCTCTCTCTCTCTCCATCCATCCCTCCCCCTCTTTTTCTCTCTTCCTCCCTCCCCCTTCCTCCCTCTTTTATTTTCTCTCTCCCCCTCCCTCTCTCTCTCTTTGGGGGGGTAACTATTTGTGTGTGACATGTACACATAGGTGTGTGCACATGTGTGCACATGAATGTCAAGTATCTTCTTCAGCTGCTTTTCTACATTATTTTTAAGATTGATTCTCTCAACTGGGTGGTGGTAGTGCATGACTTTAGTCCCAACACTTGGGAGGCAAAGGCAGGCAGATCTCAGTGAATTCTTGGCCAGCCTGGTCCAGGACAGCCAGCACTGTTACACAAAGAAATCCAGCCTTGGAATTAAGAAGGAGGAGGAGAAGGAAAAGGAGAAGAAGATTGATTCTCTCACAAAACCCGAGCTCACCTGTTCAGCCATGCTGCCTCCCTGGTGTATAGCAGGACCTTTCTGGCTTTATCTTCCTGACACGGGATTACAGACTTGAATCATCACACCAGTATTTTGTTTGTTTGTTTTGTTTTGTTTATGTGAATGTTGGGGATCAAAACTCAGGTCCTTCAGTTTGCAGGACAAGCACTTCACTGACTAGGCTGCTCCAGCTCCTTGAGGGAATGTTTGAAAGTAAAAGCAGGGACCTTGTAATTCATTTCTATTCCTTGGTCCCCAGGACAAGCCAAATGTCCCAAATGATTAAATCATCCTTAATATTGAACTCACAAACTCAAAAGCCAGGGGGCACTTGGTTCTCACTTGTTTAAATCTAAAAGGAAAGTAGTATTTCATCTCAAATTGGTTTTGAGACCAACTGGTTCTCTCCAAGGCTATAGTACTATTCTGCCTGCTTTTCTCTTCTACAAGGCACATGTGTGCACTCTTACAGAGCACATATACAAACACATGGTTGTACATGCTATCTCGAATAAATACATATAGAAGGCAAAGTCCCTCAAGAAAAATCTTGCTATAGACCAATGGTTTCTTGTTTCTTCACCAAACACCAAAAAAATTAATAAAGAAACTGATGAAGATTCATATAAATAGGATGTTTTTTTAATTTACCCCGCCCTAGCACCCCACTACCCCTTACAAATAAAACATGCTATTCTTAGGTTATAAAACCACTAGTCACAAGTGAAGCTAAATTCTAAGTAGACACAATTTCAGTTGTATTAAAAATCCATGACTTTAAAATGCAGCAATAAAAATAATTGGAAAAGAAATTTAAACCTTTTGGATCTAGGAAAAATTACACAAAGGAAAAAAATTACATAAGTCATAAAACAACAACAACAACAAAAAAGACTTGATCATATAAAAATGAAAAACTGTAAGGAACAAGCTATAACATAATCAAAATTATAAATATAAAGCAACATAATGACAAACGTAAAAAGAACCCCAAACGCACCAAATTATCAGGAACAATTTCAACCCAGGTAATGTACTTTCCCAAATTAACAGGAAGACACTCCAACTAAAACACTACAAAGAACAAAAACAGGCACACTGCAGGAGAGGAACCAGAATTAATAGTAGTCTCATTAGATCAAAGAAAACTGCTCCATCTCAACTAATAAATAGATAAATTAAAACTGACATGATGCTGTCACTGTGTTTGCCTGCTACCAATTCTTGAGGTGGCTGATAGCTAGAGATTATGTGGGACTGCTGGTTTACCACAAGATATTTGTGGAAATAGAAATAACTACAAACTTTAATGAAAATGATCAAATAATGTTTATTAACATGTAAACTACACACATGCTCTGACCTAGGAATACCCTTCCCAAGGACTGCTAAGGCTAATTTAAAAATTACTAGTGTACAAAGCTTTTGTCTCTATTTAGCAAAGCATTTATTCTTTTTTTTTTTTTTTTTTTTTTTTTGGTGATGAAATAACCTCAAACAATTTAAATATCATCCAGAAGGTGCTTCATTAAAGGAATTAGGCAGAACCGGTACTGGAGAGTGGTGTTGGGCTGGGAAAGCCATCCTTCAATTTTCTCACCTACAAAATCGAAATAATAGCAGCACTTATATCACATACATATTTATGCAAATTTACAGTGCTGTGTCAGAATCAGAGGTACAAAAATAAAGATGATCCTCAAAGTGTACATGTGTGCATATTTATTTGAGTATATTTGTATCATCAAAGAAAAAATGGGAAGAGGTTAGACATGACATTGTGAACACAGTCACTGCTTTTGTAATTTGTGTGATTAAAACAATAAGAACACCAAAGTGGGGAAAATCAACAGGAAACATGAACAGAATATTGAGTCACTAAAGACACACACTAGTGGTTAATAACCATAGCAAGGAAAAGGCACTCAGAAAAGAACAGCCTTCAATATGATGCCCTCTGTATTCAGAAAAACCAAACTGGGGCTGCTGCAGGATGGGCACCTAGAAGAGGGAATGTGACTGTATATGGGGACGTGTGGGCTAGTGGGGCACATGGGGTAAAGGAAGGGTATGAAATGGAGGGGGTGAGGATAGGGCAGCTAGACCTTGTATATGAAATAAATTCCTTTAGAGGGGTCAGAGAAAGCCTTGGTTTATAATCCTGGCCTTTGCACTTATTATCTATGGAGTTCAAATTGACTGTTTTAAGCCAATCTTTTCATTGAAGAAATGAATGTGTAAAACAATGAGATCACATTCACAGTAGGCCTGGGACTAAGAGCTCCTGCTCCTTAAGTTCAGCTTCTTGGCCACCCTATCATGATGGGACCCTTCCTCCCTTCCTCCTTTCTCCCATTCCCCAGACACTGCAGCCCAGGAGCCCTGCCTTCCTTCCTGTGCCTTAGAGGGAAACTCTCATCATAGAATCTTCAGTGTCTTACCTTAGCTCAGCCCACCTGCTTGTGACTTCCTATTTATTGTGATACAAGTTCCTTCTGCAATGAAATGACTTTACTCCTACCCCCCCAAAGTAAAGACATGCTTTCAAGCACACACACACACACACACACACACACACACACACACACACACACGGGGGGGGGGGACTGAGAGAGAAACAACTCCTTACTTGACACAGTTTTCCTAAATAAGAATTCAAGCTTCACATTGGATACTGTACAAAATACAAGTTTCATTCCAACAGAAAGAAAACTCCCCAAACCAAAATGGTAGGGGAATCAGGGTATATGGTTGTAGGTATTCCACATGATCAAAAAGAGTGTATTTAAACTGTATTAAACCTTTAAAGTACCTTTAAAAGACACAGGACAAAATAATCTGTCTCTTTGCAAAAGCCAAGCCACTGAAGACAGGATGAGGCTATCTGGGAGTGTCCTGCTTGCCTGGCAGGTGAATGTCCCCGCAGCTCCAGTAGGTCTGATGGAAGTCCCTTTCAACTTAGCAGATCACCAGATTGCCACACTAAGTGTCCACGATGATAACTCTGTCCTATTGTCCTGGAAGACAAGTTCAGGGTCTTCAGAACTTCTCTATGACTGTTCATAGGTCTGGAACCAGTAGGATTCCCCCAGCGGGCAGAACTCACACACTCTGGGGCCTGGGCTCTCTTCCACCGCTGTTGAGGAGGTCTGTGAGTTCCCCGATGTACTTGATAGTGTACTTGAGTGTCTGGATCTTGGTGAGCGGCTGGCCTCTCTGGCTGTAGACAGGGGGCAGGTAATTCCGGAGCGTGTGCAGGGCATCTGCCAAGGTCCGCATCCTGAGTTTCTCTCTCTCGCTGGCTTTGCGTCTCCGTTGGACAGACATCTTGACTTTGCTGCCCTTCTGGCCTTTGAGACCACCAGAGGCTTGCAGGTAGGCGGGTTGGAAAGCTAACATGCTATAATCCAGCTCTACCAGGCCACCAGCCCCATGGCTGCTGTAGCCATCGCTGCTGCCAATGCTCGCTCCACTGTGCCCACAGGGCAGTGCAACCCCAGAGTAGGACTCCAGAGAAGGAACTGGGGAGAGGCTCTGAGTTGGAGATGCCTGGCTGAGCTCCAAGGGCCTGGCTCGGCTTTTCCAGTCCCAGGAGGCCAGCAGGCCAACAGTGTCAGAAGAATCAAGGCCATCCTCCAGGTTGAGGAAAGTCTCTCCCAGGTTGTCCATACCCCTGAAACAGCAGTGGAAGGACTCCTTGGCAAATGTGAAAGAAAAGTTCTGCTGCCCTGGCCAGAGACTAGCTCTCTTTTATGATGGTAGGGGATGGGGACAAAGTGGCAAAGAGGCCCCTGGTGGAGGGAGTTCAAAGGAAGAACCAAGGACCAAGATGGAAAATGAACTCCTCAGGTGTCACTTTCTCCTCATTGATAATTAGCATCTTCCAGCTAAAATGTCTTTAAACAGACCGGCCTCCAAGAGAAGAAAAAAGGAATTATCTTGTTGTAACTAAACCAATTAAGTCTGCATAACCAGGTTTAGCATTGTCCTGTGGAACTCATTAATGAGGAGCCAAAGAAAACAAACCTGGGGATCTGCAGCAAGGAGGGGCTCCTGTGGGGGGGCCTTTGGGCCAGGAGGATCCGCCCACCTCTGGGATATTTTAAGAGTAGATGGGGTGGTTGTTGTTGGAGGAGAAGCACGGGACTGCGACAAAGCAAGTCTGAGCTTTGATGCTCTTCTGTGTCAAATGCAGGCAATAATGGCTCCTATTTCCTGGGGCTGGCATAGGCTAGCAAGCAGAAGGCTCTGATCAATGCTCACTTCATTCCCCACTTTAGTTAACTGCCCCAGGTTTAAAAACAAAAACAAAACCTACCATAGAGGAACAAACCAGCACATCCAGTAAGCTGGGAGCCTTATGGAACAGGAAATATCCTAGAAGGAGGAGGAGGAAGAGGAGGAGGAGGAGGAGAAGAAGAAGAAGAAAGCCCTTGCTTTAAGTGATCACACCAGAATCCCTGCAGCAAGCAGACATCCATCAGACAATAGGACATTCGTAAAGCCAGGAATTTGCAAGTGTACTCGGCTGGCATTTAGCCTGATGAAGGTCTTTTTAAAAATCCAGCTGCCTGGTCACACCTCATTTTCTGAAATGTATAGAGGAAGTGTGAAATTAACAAGAGAGTCATTTTCCCCCACCACTACTCCAAATGCCACCAAATGTGTTAAGTTGGATAGCCTTGCTAGTTAGCTTCATTTCCTATATGTTCCCACAGACACACACTTAGGAAAAGTAGTTCCAAATTCCCCCATTTGTCTCAGGAACATGCAACTCATTGTTCAAAAGAATATTAACGTCACCATCACCTTTCATTTCACATCGACTTGTCCTTTAACATGGTTATTTCAGCCCTTTGCAATTGTTAGAAAGAAATGTCAAGGACCTAATTAGAACTCTTGTGGTATTTTTTAATTAGCAAGGCTCAGGAAATAAACATCTGAAGTATGTAATCTGGAGAAAAATACACTTAGCTTTACCATTTGCTGAAAGACATGGAGCCAGGGCCCCAGCAACAGTGCTAATGAAATATAATAAATGTATTCTATTCCCTCCTACTTCTCATTCTCCTTCTCTCTCCCTTCTGCCCCAGTTCCAAAGCCCAGAGTAAAGTGGAATTTTTTCAAGAACTTTTTTTCATGTATTACAACTAACCTTAGATTGAAAAATTCCAGCATTATACACATAAAAGGCTGAGGTTCCCAGAGCTTGAGAAACTTGGTTACAACCCCCAACAGGAAGTGGCACACTCAATAGAAAGTGGCAAATTCCCCATAAAACTCCAAACACCCATCATTTTAAAAATAACATTTCCCTTAGGCCAGTCTGTTGTTAGAAGGCATGTGGCATGCGTGTGACTTAGGACACAAGGTGGCTCAGGTGGCTACCACCAGAGTCAGACTATAATACCATTTCTGTTCTAAAACTTTCATATTTCCCTCCTTTCCACGGCTTCATTTGCAAGTCACTAATTTCTTCAGTTTCTTCCTCTCTTTGCAAGTTTTATTTTATTTTGTTGGTTTGTTTTGTTTTTTTGAGACGAGTTTTCCCTGTGTAGCCCTAACTGTCTTGGAACTCTCTCTATACACCAGGCTGGCCTGGAACTCAGAGATTCACTTTCTTCTGCCCCCCCCCCCCCAGAGCTAAGATAAAAGTATGTGTCACCATGCCCAGCCCAAATTTATTTTCTAAATGAGAAACTGTCTGCTAAATCTTTGATTCATGTGGGCATGGAATGTACCTCAGTGGGTAGAATGCTTGCTTACCCTTTCTAAGGTCCTAGGGTCGAACCCTCACCCTGCACAAGCTGAGTGTGGTTGCACATCCTTGGCAATCCCAGGACTTCAGAAGCACAGGCAATGGAATGAGAAATTCAAGGTCCTGCCCAACTACATATTAAACTCAAAGACAGCCCAAGAGTCATGAGACCCTGTCTCAAACAAAACATAGGTCTTAAGTGCATTGTAGATACTTGATTGGAGTTTGTTTAGTGATTGTTGTCAATTGTCACAGTCACACCACCAGTATGACTCTGAGCAGAGGCTCCAACAATGTTGATCCCAAAAGCACATTATTAGAGTGAGGAAATGGCCTGGCGTCCATATTCTTAATGTGCACTTTTCCCCTCTGCTAGGAGGCAGTACTGGCCAAGATTCACACTGATCTGGCCTGTCTCCATGAATCACTCTTTGCTCAAATTGAAGAAAATGAAAAGGTGAGACACAATGTGGTCCCCCTAGAATTCAAGGACCTGGCTTTGGCCACATGATACTGGAATTTTTTTTTTCTTTTTCCTTTTTCCATTATGTATACTAAAGTGGACAATTCATTCAGTCTAGAGGGGGCCCAAAAATCTCTAATGGAAAATGTGCTATATGAAGAAGGTGAGCCATGGTACCCCTAGAGTGACTGTCCTACCTTCTCATGGTGCATGTGTTGTAATTTGGAAACTGGAATTAAGGTCTGGCTTGTCATCTACCTGAAGAGCATCCATCCATTGAACTCCTTCCTGGCTCTAAAATAGGATGAAGCCTGTCTATCACTGGGGTGTGAATAGACTTAATTCACAGAGTACCATAACAGAAGGCCCAGGGGGCACTGAGACTGTAGTTCCATCTGTACTCTGGGGAAGGCCAGCTGCATTCGGTGCCACACCAAAAGGCTGTGCAGGGATGGGAACAGAAGATCCAGAATTGCCTGGCTTCAAGGTCCATCTTTTTTCTTTTCTGGGAACTGATGTGGATCACGCCCTAAGTTTTCATGCCAAGTAGATGGCTTACCTCCTGCGGAGTGGGTCACTGGTATAAGGTTTCTATATTTAATGTCTGTTTACTCCTCCTGCATTTGTAAGAGGGCATGACTATGATCATCACAGGCTATCTCAATATTTCCAAGGTTAATAAAGAAAATTATAGTCTCACTATGGAAATTATCCATTTCCATGCTAGGTTGCACCATACAAATTGTCATGGAAGATGACTCAAATGCAATATCTGTCCTCTGAGAAACAGCACAAAATACAACTTTCATGTATTGTCCATTTATACAGTGTTCCCACCTTAGAATCTGCATTATGCATGTTACATAACCATTGCCAATATCTACAAGGTACAAGGCTTAGTCCAAAACCCACCCTCTCCAAGGTGCTGTTCCTGCCTGTATCAGACCCCAAACCTCTTCAACTCTTGATTAGGCCCCATCTTTTTGCCTGCCATTTTGATAGTGTATTCCCATAGATCTAGGTTTCTGTTTGGCTCATGCTGTATGTTGTCTGCTGTACTGGATGCTAAGGACAAAAAGTAAGTTAAATAGCTTTTGTCTTCAGCAAACAAACAGATCAAATGAATAAGCTTGACCCCTTGAAACATGCTGAGATCTGACAAAATAAGGAACCATACATTCAATGAATGTAATTATGGAGAATTAATCATGTCTATGTGTAATATTATCACTACCAGTCCTGCTCTGTGAAGGAGAAATTGAAGCAGGGTGTTGGTGGCACACGTCTTTAATCGCAGCACTTGGGAGGCACAGGCAGGTGGATCTCTGTGAGTTTGAGGCCAGCCTGGTCTACAGAGCAAGTTCCAGGACAGGATCCAAAACTACAGAGAAATCCTGTCTCAAAAAACAAAGAGGAAAGCGGGGGGGGGGGGAATATAGAGACACAGAATCACTCAATAGTTTCCCCAATGTAGCATATCTGGTCTGATATTCCCAGGGGGGGGTCGGGCTGACTCAAATTGGAGAGTAATCATGCTTTTGCTGCTTCTTGGGGGACAGCTGGACGCATCAGACTGGCAACTCCTGTAGAGCTGTTGAGGTAGGCATCCAAACTTGAAAGGGAACTTGGACAATATAAAAAGACTAGCCTGGATTCACACAGTAAATGTAGAAGAGAGACCTGGGATTAATCAGCACCTGAACAGATATGTAGTAGTCCCCCTCCTTGCCCACAGTTTTATTTCTGAGAATGTAGTCACCCATCAGTTAACTATGATGCAAAAGTATTCGAAGGAAAATCCCAGAAATAAACATATCTTAAATTCCAAATTAGTACCATTTATACTAGTATAAAGAAATAGACCATACAACTGTACTCCACCTAGAACACTCTTCACCTCATCTCATTACATTGTATCATCTCACATTATCACATAAAGAGGAGTAAAATTAGTACAATGTAATATTCCAAAAGAGAGAAAACCCATTCACTATGATTACAGTACAATATGTAGCTTATTACACTATTGTTATGCTTTATTTTTTCAGTTAATATTCTTAATCTCTTACTGTGCCTAATTTATAAACAAAACCCTAACATAGATATATAGATGGGATTAAGAAAAAACATATATAGAGTTGATACATACAGAGTTTGGAGAAATACTTAAGGTCTAGGGCATCCGCTGTGGTATGGAATCAAATCTCTAGACAATTAGGGAGACTGTTAGAGTCAGTTTAGATTGTCCATATTCCTAAATTACATGGTTTAATTAAGTCACACACACACACAATAGTGAACAGGCCTAATTCTTAAGTCTGATGCAAGTGCTGTATGTATGGGAGCCACACTGTTCCTATGGCTATTCTTATGGTAATTTTGGACATGAGAATAGTAAAGTGCAAATAAGAAATTTTTCTAGTACTGAGCTCTTTATGTTTTACTTTATTTAAATGATACAGAAATACAATTCATGTTCCTATTTTAAAAAGTAAAAAACTGAGGCTTAGACTCTAGTGAGACCCGTCCCAAGAGAGGTAAGAAATGGGAGAGTTTTAGGCTCCCCCTAGCTTGTGGTTTATTGCAGAGAGTATATGTCTGTCTGCTTCCACTCCAAGGCATCTGTCTGCTACCTCCACTCTAGGGTATCTGTCTGTCTGCCTCTACTCCAGGGCATCTGTCTA